AAAAACACTTAACTTGACTAGAGGGGAAGTACACAGACGACGCGACAACGAACAAAGGAAGACTGAGGACTTAAATACACACATGAGGTGATCAGGGGAAGTGGAGACACACGAGAACACAGCTGACTCGAATGAAACACAATGACAATACAGGGGAGAGTAACACTAACTACAATGAACAAAGAACACCAGACTCTTACAAAATAAAACAGGAAACACGGAGACATAGACATGGAGATAAAACATGACATGAACTTAATCGCATAGACATGAAACGTAGACGCAGGAACCAGGGAGACTGAGTACAGGTGGAGATGACAGAAATAACTAAGAAATAAGGTCTGAACAGCAACCTAGAATTTAACTAGATTGAAAATGAATACAAAAATTACATAAAACTCAAACACTGGGTCACACGACCCAGTACCGTGACACAGCTTTTGCTATACTGGTCCACTTGATTGTCCTATTTTATTTATTATTATAATTTATTTTTCAGGTTTAATTTTATTTTTTTCATTTTGAGTTGTTACAATCAGAACGGACGGGAGCGGGGACAGGAAAGAGAAAGAAAGAGAGGTTAGGAAGACAGTTAATAGAAGGAGAAGGAAAATAGAGGAGAAGAGCGATGGACAGAGAAAAGATGCCGAAAATCTGATTTCTACTACAACATTTATATGGCAGGGTCAGAATCTGTTGTAAAGACCATGAAAGCACGGCTCCATGCTGCCTGGTTTCACTGGTGGAGGTTGCTGGTGGTGTAGTGGTGGATATTTTGATAGATGCTTTCAGCAGGATTGCGCACGAAGCTCAGATCATCTCAGACTGGCTTCTGTGGGTTGTGGTGGTACAGAAGAGTCACACCATGGAGCAGCTGTGTGATGCTGTGTGAAGTAGTCAGACACGAACGTCAAGGAAGGTGGTAGAGAAGCAGACTACGCAGACATTTCAGATTTCCAGAGGTGAGCAATTTATTTACAGTGAACTTAATTTAATGTAACTTAACAAAACTTCCCCCCAAATCAATTCAATTCAATTCAATTCACAAAACTCAACATAACATGGATCTGGTGACACAGCTCACCTCTCCTCTCTCCTGCATCTGGTAGAGACTGGCTTTAAATAGGGCCATCAATTTCCCTCCAATTGCCCAGCCAGTACCACTCACTCAACTGAGGGATCTAAAACTCTACACAGACAAAACCTC